TGGTGGTTTGTTATTACTAAAGATTCTTACCGATGAGGTTGGTGAAGAAGGATTATGCATATGAAGTTGGCCTGGTGGCAATGTGCCAAGTTCTTTGTTACCTTCCTTGGTTGCTGCTGTGAAGACTGAGACTTACAGTCCCGAAGCTGACTTTGTATTCTCAATTGGAGATTCTGTAAGAGATCAGACATGGGGCAGTGAAGGAGATAACGAAATTGGCCAAAAAGATCACTATGTTGACAAAGAGATTGAGTGGATACCCAAGCGTAGAAAACTATCCGAGCTGAAGTATTGGGAAGGCAGAGGAGCAAGGATAAAACGTACTGGCATGACTGTTTCTTACTCAGATACTCCCCACCTTGAGGACAAGGTGGTTGTCAAAGGGGGGAGTAATGATAGAGACCTAGATAGTACTAAAAATAAGAATAATGGTGGTCTTTTAATATTGTAGACTAAAAGGGTTTTAGGACCTGAATTTAATAGAACTGGGCTGGCCCATATGGAAAAGAATAAATAGGAGTGAGGGGAGTAGAATTGGCAGGCAGAAATTTGGGATCTGGGATTAGGCTTGGGAGTGGGAGACGACTCGAACAGTCTCAACAATATCTGTTCTTCTCTATTTTTTCTGTCTATGCCATTGTAATCCAATTCAATCTCTGAAATCTTCATCAATAATATTCTATTTTTCTACTGTGATATTCTGGTATCTATCATTGGTATCAGAGCACTACGCCCTGGGAAGCTTCATTGGTGTCATTGGTATTCACGCAACAAAAAAATGGAGAATCGCACTTCTGGTTTGCGCGCAAATCTGGAGAATAGCACCTGGACGAAGATGGAAACGATGCTGGACGAGATGAATCATCATTTGCGTAAACAGCGTCGCAGGAGAATTAGAGGCCGAGCGAGGAGTCCTCCTAGACGCTGTCGGCCAACTGAAAATCAGGTTTCTTCGACCGTAGCTCTTCCTAGTTCGCAATCGCGAACGGTTTTACCTAGTTCACAGACCTCGTCGCGTGCGCAGGTCTATTCTCAGTCACAAGCTGCGTCTCACAGTCCAAGTACGCAGTCGCCAGCATCTTCTTCCTGTTCGCCAGACTCTTCGCCGTCAGTAGCCGCTCCTCACCTATCATCAAGGACCAGTTCGAAATTGTCGTCTCTGGCCGCATGTCACAGTTCGTCGACGCTAGGCGTTCCTCACCATGTGCAAGCTTCATCAGTTTTCAGAACCCTAGACCAAACTGAATCCGAAAATGGATCACCAGGAACTTCATCACCGACAATGAACATTAAGTTGAGATTGTCAGAACCGAAAGCGCAGGAGGAGGAGGTCACAAGCGCAGATAAGTCAAAAAGGACAGGTGATAAGATTTATTATTCGACTCTAGTGAAAGCCGTGCCAATATATGTTGATTCATCTGAACCAGATCAAAAACTAGATCAGATCATTTATAGTATCAAACTTCCTGGACCTGCTTTGTTGGGTGAAGATTACCTGTTGAGTAGAATCAGTGTGGATCTGGACCCTACTATTCAAATTGCTGGAATTGATATCTCCAAGAGGGAACAACTCATAAATTTATCTTTAAAGCCCAAAAGGGTTAAAGGAAGGGAAGCTGAAGTAAATGTTCAACCTTGTACAGTTAAAGAGAGAGGAGAAGCTAACAAAAATGAGGAAGAGAAATCTAGCATACTTGATGCTTTCTTCAGGCTTGTGGAACTGGAAAGAGGGGGGATCAGACTCCTAAGGGATTGCCCCCTCACAGAAGTTGCGACCATGCCATCCAAATCACAGAGGGAGCTAAAATTCCCAACATTAGACCCTACCTATATCCATATTATCAGAAAACTGAGATTGAAAACATTGTTAGGGATCTTCTAAGTACTGGGATAATCCGGCCTAGTACTAGCCCCTATAGCAGCCCCATCCTTCTAGTGAAAAAGAAAGAAGGGGGGTGGAGGTTCTGTGTGGATTACCGAGCCCTGAATAAGATCACCGTGCCAGACAAGTTTCTCATTCCCATGATTGACGAATTATTAGATGAATTGGGATCTGCACAGTTTTTTTCCAAGCCAGATTTGAAGTCGGGGTATCATCAAATAAGGATAAAGGAAGAAGACATACACAAGACTGCCTTCCGGACGCACGAAGGTCATTATGAGTACGTTGTGATGCCATTTGGACTGACAAACGCCGCATCAACCTTCCAAGCCTTGATGAATCAGATTCGGAGGCCTTACTTGAGGAAATTTGTGCTTGTTTTTTATGACATCCTAATCTACAGTAATAGTGGGCCAGAACACCAGGAGCATCTAAGGAAGGTATTACAAGTTTTACAAGAAAATCAACTGGTCCTCAATTTGAAGAAGTGCAGGTTCGGCCAGAATGAACTATCATACTTAGGACATGTGATTTCGGGTCAAGGGGTGAAGGCTGATCCTAGAAAAATTCAGGATATGCTAGATTGGCCTATACCTAAAAATTTGAAAAGTTTGAAGGGTTTTTTGGGTTTAACAGGGTATTACAGGAAATTTGTCAAAGGATATAGCAAAATACCTACTCCTTTGACCCAGATGCTGAAAAAAGAGGGGTTCAAATGGCACCCGGAATCGATTGCAGCTTTTGAGCAACTCAAGAAGGCATTGACCACTCTTCCAGTTTTGGCAACCCCCAGTTTTGACAAACTTTTTGTGCTGGAAACGGATGCATCCGGAAAACGAATAGGGGCAGTTTTGATGCAAGAAGGGAGGCCAGTAGCCTATATGAGCCAAGTACTATCTGAAAGGAACCAAAGGAAATCAGTTTATGAAAGGGAATTGTTGGCAATTGTGATGGCAATACAAAAATGGAGACATTATTTGTTAGGCAGAAGCTTTGAGATTCACACGGATCAGAAGAGTTTAAAATTCCTCGCTGAGCAGAGGTTACTGGGAGAGGAGCAACAGAAGTGGGTAGCAAGGCTACTCGGCTATAACTTTGTGATCAAGTACAAACAAGGGAATGAAAATAAGGCCGCAGATGCCCTTTCCCGAAAGGGGAGTCTACTATCATTGTCAGTAGTAACCTGCCAGGAGTTAGAAGGGTTGGAAGAAGAACTCCTGAGAGATGCCAGATGCCAACAGATCATTCAGGAACTAGTAACCCATGCGGATTCTCACCCTGGGTTCCGTCTGAGAAAAGGATTATTGTACTATCGGGACAGATTAGTCTTGCCAAAGAACTCCACCCGAATCAGCATGATTCTCAAGGAATTTCACGACTCAGCGATAGGAGGGCATGCAGGCCAACTCAGGACCCTCAAAAGAATTACCAATATTTTTTATTGGGAGGGCATGAGGGCAACCATTCAGAAATATGTCGAGGAATGTGAGATTTGCCAAAGAAATAAGTATCAAGCATTGAGCCCAACAGGTTTGTTACATCCTTTGCCAATTCCCCAACAAATTTGTACAGATGTCAGTATGGATTTTATAGGTGGTCTACCTAGGGCAATGGGTAAAGATACAATACTGGTGGTCGTGGATAGACTAACAAAATTTGCCCATTTCCTAGCGTTAGCTCACCCATGCACGGCTAAGGAAGTAGCCGATTTGTTCATACGGGAGGTGGTCAGACTTCATGGTTTTCCAAAAACCATAGTCTCGGATAGGGACCGCGTATTCATGAGTTCGTTTTGGTCGGGGCTATTCAAACTGCCAGGGACCCAACTGAAGTATAGTACAACCTATCACCCACAAACGGACGGACAAACCGAAGTGGTGAAAAGGTGTGTGGAGACATATTTACGCTGTACCACTGGAAGCAAACCCAGGCAGTGGCCTAAGTGGCTGCTATGGGCAGAATATTGGTACAACACCAATTATCATTCTGCCCTGAGAAGCACCCCTTTTAAAGCCTTGTATGGACATGACCCTCCTACTCTAGTCAAGGGAGACGCTACACAAACTGCAGTAGATGAAGTCACTAAGTTAATGGCTGAAAGGAATAACATGTTGGTAGAACTGAAGAAGAATTTGGCACTAGCTCAGAACCAGATGAAGCAGCAAGCCAATAAACATAGGAGGGATATGAAACTGGAAGTGAGCGACAAAGTATATCTGAAAATACAGCCATACAAGCTAAGGAGCTTAGCGAAACGAATTAACCAAAAACTTATCCCCAGGTACTATGGGCCCTTTGAAATCATTGAACAGATCAACCCTGTGGCTTTCAAACTCCAGGTTCCAAAGGATTGCTCAGTACATCCAGTTTTCCATATTTCTTTACTTCAGAAATCTATTGCAGCAAACATACCTTGCCAACCCCCTCCCTAATTGTTTAACGGAGGAGTGGGAACTCCAAGCACAACCAGAGGAGGTGGTAGATTCAAGGATCAATTCGAAAGGAGTCAGGGAAGTCTTGATCCATTGGAAGCACTTGCCTACGTTTGAAGATTCCTGGGAAGAACTGGCACAATTCCAGGAGCTCTTTCCCAGCTTCCACCTTGAGGAAGGTGTTTGTCCGGGGGGGGGGGGGGGGGGGGGGGGGTGATAGGAGCCCAGGTATACTTGACATAGATCCTAATAGGGAATTCACAAAGGTTTACACTAGAAGGAATAAGAAGAGGGTAGAAGAGTCTTCTTTTGATAACTCTGAAGGGAGAAGTGGAGAATCAATCAGCTGAGTGATTGGTGAGACCCGAAGAGCAGAAGAATAAAGCAAGGCACGGGAGGGGATAGGAGATTTTTGGGCAGTCGGTTGTAATAGGAGAGAGAGGCCCTCTCGAACGGTCTCACCTTTTTTCAGTATTTCCTTGTTCTGCAAGTCTTTCTTCTCCTTTCCATTATTGCCTTCCAACTTTCTGTCTCTGTATTGAACTTATTTACCTAATAAATTACCTATATTGAGCTGGACTGTGTGTGTGCCCTAACAAAAAGACCCCCCCCCCCCCATGCTGCAAGATATATAAAATGCCTGGAGGTAAATAGTAAAACGTGTCAGATAAAGGAAAAAAATCAACCTCCTCTTCATCAGTCAAATCAACAACTGCATCTAAGTCATCATCATTTTGGTCTCCCTCAGCTGCAATTTCCTTCAAGCGCTCGATTACTTGCTCAAAGCGGGAATGATCTGCAAGGTAATGCTTGTTTGTCATACAAACTTGCATACATTAATTCACTAACAGGCAGATTCAAATAATTGTAAATTAAGCATTTTTCAGTGGTCATGGTAAGTATTGTTTTTCATTCCCATACGTGTCTCATTTTTCCATACACGAAACCAAAACAAACTATGCTCTATCCATCAAGGCATCAAGCCATCAACAATGGTCTATCAGTTCAATTGCAGGTGTTCAATATGTCAAATAGTATCATAGGATAAGGTTCATTAAAGAGCATTAGTTAACAAGCTCGGAAAGATCGGTTCCATACTATATGTATTAGCAGAATCTACTTAGTTGTGGCCATATTTCCAGGAGCAGGAATATAACAAGAGCTTAGTCACATATATAGTTCTCAGAACATGAAACAAACCAGTATTTACAGAAAATGTGACCGGTCAAAGCACTTATTTGTAAATTTTATAAATCTCAAGGGCTACTTGAAAATTTTACAGAAAACTAGTGTTAATTAACAATTTAACACTAGTTTTTATGTTTTTCCATCATTGAAACGACTTATATGCCTACAGTTCATGCGTACTTCACTCATCATTTTCATTTACCCCAGTGACGCAAAGGCTCCCACCTACGGTGGGGTAAGGGGGGATCGGATGTACGCAGTCTTACCCCTGTACTATAAAGCACAGAGAGACTGTTTCCGGGTGACCCATAGTGAAAATCCCGTCCAAAATTGCATGGACTGACTGCTGCTTCATAACAAAGAAGCGCAGACAGTTTAGTGAGCCATTTTGCTTTATTCCATCATAATCTCAAGCCAAAAACTAATGAATCTTTGGCTCCATTGCAAATGATGGAAAGTTCATGCGTACTTCACTAATGTATTAAAAGTTTCTCCTAGACAAGTTGACACTAAAGACTAGAGAGATCTAATTTCTGATTTAATTACCATTGGCACGAGTAGTTAGAGCATCGAGAACTCTTGATGGATACCGCTGCTCTTCTTTCTTATACTTCAGCCTTACCTGTGTGCGTGTCCGCCCAGGAAAGAGTTGTTGTATCATCGAGAAATCAGAACCAAACTGCCGTATGGCCTATAGATGATGAGACACATCTGAAGTTATAACCATCTTTTTGTTAAAACTTAAAACTATAACATTTATGTATCTTTTATTTAAAATTATCAATGATGTATCTTTTTTACTAAATTATAACAAATATGTATACTGTTAAAGGCTATTATAAGATATGTGATGTATATATACCTCATAGAACAGTTCCGTGTCCGCTTTAGACCATCGGGCTCTGGTTGCTTTTTCCATGTAGGTATGATAATTATAGTAGAGGGTACTATCCACCGCCGCAGCCCTTTCTTGTTCACCAAAAGCTTCTGCATCATTATCTCCATTAAACGTAAATGCCTCCTCTTCATCGTTCATTTCAAAAGTACTATTACCAACACTGTTGAGATAATACTTTAGAATCACAATCATGCCATTATGATATGATATTAATATTTTTATGAAATTAAGAAACCCATATTTCTCCAGATGGCCTCTAAATATAGGAACATTATATCTATTACCTTGAGGTTACTTGTGGGGTCTGGGATGATGTTGTTGCCGCTGCATTTTTCTGCAATGAACAAACAATTTTTTTAGACAAAATTGGAAACTATTCCAGTTTAATGTCCACAAATGAACTAAGAAAACTATTGTTTCTATTTCAACTGGGAGGTGAGGATAGGTTTCTAGAAAATCCTAGGGAAGTCTTAGAAAAGGCAAGAAGCCCAAAAAAGAGTACCGCCACGCGCTCCTTGTGCTCTGCCAGCAATATTAGATCCCTAATAGGCACTCTTTGGTAATTAATATCCTCCTCTGGAGTTTCCAATAAAACCTTGTCCACTGCAAAGACAAGAATCTTTGTGAATAAAGGACTCATATAAGATATTCAAAAAATAAAAACAACTATCAGTCTTACATGTCCTCTTCTTTTGACGAGTTGAGTGAGAAAACTTCTTGACCTTTTCTTTAGTGGCCTTTCCAGTTTTGTCGTTAGCTTTCTTACGCTTTTTACCATGATTTTCTTCACCGTCATCAGTCTGTTTCATTGACGTTTTCCTAGTTCTTTTTTTTCGGGATTCATTTTCTGCTTGATACTCCTCATCAATGTCTTCATTCTCATTTAGTATGGGGCTACCAGAATGTCCAGGTAAAAAGTCCTCATCAGCATTTGGCATTTCTTCACTCTCTGAAACTTCAGCTGTAGGTTCTGTGGGAAAAGTGTGATCAAATCCTGAAGACGGGACATTGTTAACATCATCTGTATCAAATGTAGGAGTTCTAGCTTTATCCACCAAGTCAGTATATTCAGAATCTTTTGCATTGGAATGAGGAATGGCAGTCTCAACGTTCTCCGTAAACACTTGTACCTTGGGCTTGGGTTGGAATTTTCCTATGTGCAGACCTTGATTTGAAAAAAAAAACATTAAGAAACCTTGGTAAATTATAAACTGGAACACGAAAAATGGTAGGGAAAGGAAGAAAAAAATCAGGAAACTCGTGTTTTAATGTTCATTTCAGGGTTTCCCTTTGAACAAATATCTGAATTTGACTTATTATTAAGGCTCTATTTAAAGCAGCTGGTAGTGAGTACCCTAGCTCTTTCTAAACTAATTATCCTCTCATTCTAACCGCAACTCACTGCAGTGCTTACATTTTTGCTTAAGTGCTTACTCCGCCCATAACATTCGGGTGCAATTTATGTTTGACTTGATATCAATTATTTTTGGATTGATCTCAACTGTGAGGGGCACACTCCAGTGAGTAGTTGTGTTTAGTCTTACCACCATATCCACTTTTTCTTTCACAGATCACAAACATCTATTCACCACACCACTCCAAAGTCGACACCAATCGAAAGGAGCCTTAAGTTCAGACCAATTCTGTTTTTCCCTCTCAAATTTTCTTTCTTCACAAACCTCCCCCCTCTATTTCCGTTCTTTATTTCTTTTCCTAGCATCAAATCCATCAATCGCTTTCTAAATGCAATGTGAGTGAACAAATACTAAGGATGAGTCTAGAAAGCAAATAAAAAGTCCTACCGGATACAGTAGATTGCTCAAGTCTATCTGAATCCAAGCAAGGATATGCCTCAATCTCCTGTTACCATCAATAACCATGTTCGAATTAAAAGTGAAAAGAAAGCAATATAACTACTAAGTGCAGTAGTTATAAAAAAAAGTGCAGTTCTGATGGAAGGTTTTGGAGGAGAGGACATTGGAGGACATGTTCAGTATCCAAGTGAAATACATGTGTCTATAAAACACATAATAGGCGATCAAAATGTTATTTGATCGCCTATTATGTTTCAACTTCAACTTCTAATAAAACATCACATACATATGAAGACTGCAGCATCCCAAACCCTTCATCCAAACAGTTCCTAAAGTAAGTACTTCCCATGTATACGGATAATCACCTCTGTCCCAAGATCTATACTATCAATCTGAGAAACTCCCTCACAAGTTGCAACAGCAGGTTCTCCACACGAAGTGAATGCATCTTGAGCAGCAGGCGGTTGAAAGCTACCATCAACATCAGGGATATTTGGCACCTCAGAAGTTGGAATGAAATGCTCTGCAAGAAAAATAATTGAAGCACAAAACTATGTCACCATAAGGAATTCCATCATTAGTAGCTGCCAATGTTATACAACAAGACTGAAAAACCCATAGTGCCACTTTATTAGTCTATGAAGTTTGTAAATGCATATCACTTTAGTTTAAAGTTTTACTTTCGTGATATAATCCCTTATATAGTTCCTAATAGCTTTTAACATATGAAGATAAGCCTTCACGTACTTGCGCATTAAAAATATGAGTTAATAATATTCTTTCATTTAAAAAACATTCGCCCACCACTTAAAAAAGGCTAACAAGTATTGCTACATCATAGGTTGCCAATGATTCATGTGCTTTTGGGCATAAATATTGATGGAAGCAGGGGAGATGCCAAGAATGGCAGACTATAATGCATAGCTGGCTGCCGGACTTTTATCCATTGAGAAACAAGTATTGTAATATTATATTATCATTCAGCTTATGTTTCTACTTGCCTGTTAAGAATGAATATAGGCTATATTACAATGAGAAAAGGGTCAAATAAGCCCTTTTAGTATTTCAAAAACATCATATGAACTCGTGTACTAAATCAAGCATCATGTAAGCCCATCTACTCATATAAGACGGTCAATTGGACCACACCACCTCAAAGAGACCGGATTTAACCGCTAACAGTTACACATGTCATTTTTAATTAAATCAAGTCATCCTTTCCGATCAATTACGAGTTTCCTTTCTTTTTCTGTTTCTTTTTCAACTATGATACACCACTGTTTATGGCAACTAGATGATTATCGAAAGTGAAGGAAGGTGTTGAATACTAGCGATAAATTTAACAGAATCTACTAATCCAGCTCTTCCCATGGACAGTCTCTTCTCCCCAGCTCTTCCTAGCTACGCGCCACCATAAAGGAAAAGTAGTACACATGGAAGGGGGCTGTGAGTCATCCGGCTTTGGATGCAGATCTGGCGGAAAGATTGAAGAGAAATATAACAAAATTTCAATCATTATGAGAGTTGTTGTAGCAATTTCTTTCACCTCAAGCAAGTTTCGTCGTTCTATCGCCGCTAATTCTATTCCGGATGGTGAGTACTTGAGAAGATGAACTGTTCTTTGGATTTTCATGTCCTTCTCACCTAGCTTATTATTTGAAGTTTTGATCACATTCTTTGGGAATCAGACTCAAGTCTAGAAATACTAATTCCTTTTTGGTTGACATTATATTGCAAACACAAGACTGGACAATATGCAATCCTTCTCAGAACCTTTTTCCAACAAAAAAACAAAAAAAAAACTGAAAAACTAACTAAAGATGATAACTTGTTAATCACCACTTGGGTCTTCATCTCTCACACTTCCCCATATTCTTTTCCACTCAGTCTTCACTCTTCACTACGACACCCTAGATTTGTTCAAGAGTTACAACTTAGAATACATTAAATGATTTAGTATATTTTTCTGCAAAACAAATGATTAATAAAAGGTCCAGAAAGCAGACTGCAGTAGTAATGTAGTATACAGTCAGATGACGCTTATTGAATTAATGACTTTGAGATTCCCAGATGATCATTGAATCAATAACCAACCAATAAATATTAATAACTGACCTATAGGTGATGGTAGTACATCCTTGGGAGCCGCAATCTTTCGACTATCAGCATTACCTGATTGGATAGTCTGTGATGAAGATAGAGACTGTGTGGAAACGGGTCCCCTATGTACTGGACGGGCTTTCACTTTAGGTTTAAACTTTCCGGCTGCCCTTGCTACAATCAAGCACATCATAAATACATTGTGTTATTCAACCTAAATTGTAAGAAACTGGGCTTGAAAAGAAGCAAGCTTCAAACACTAACCTGGTTTCACTGCACCATCATCAAATAAGTCATCTAAAAGATCCATCTATATTTCCTAAAAAATAGCAATTGAAACACTGTACAATAGGTGTTAAAGAATAATGCGTAAAATAGAAGAGTCACATCCATGCAACTGGTGCAAGCAAATACACATAACCTGTCCTTGTGTTGCATGGATACAGATATGATACCTATCCAAATACTAGGTACAGTTTTTTTATTTTGTAGTTTGGGGTTGGGGACTTGAGCATTATATTATATACTCCCTTCGTCCTGAAATTAAGTTCTCACTTTCCTTTTCGGGATGTCCCAAAATTAAGTTCCCACTTTATTTTATTTCTATTTTTAAAATGTTTTTAATGTAAAACTGCCAATTTACCCCTCTAAAATACCCCCTAAACCCGACCCAGTCTTTCCCTCTCCCTCTCCAGTTTATATCCCCCCTACGGCCCTACCCTTCTTCTCTCACCCTTTCCACACTCCCAATCTCCCGGTACCCTTCTTCTTCGTCGGTACTTCTTCACTGCAGACAAGATCCGACCTTAGAGGACCACAAGGGTGCTACAGCTCGACTTCACGGAGTTCTTTGTCTGACCAGATTCGAACTAGAGGAACTGCAGCGGCACCAAGGGGAACCAGATTCCGACGATGACGATCTGATGGATGGAAGCAGCGCTAGTGTGCTCATAGATGGCCAAGGTGTCTCTTCGTATTCGAACTTATGCCGACTTGCTATCCTTGGTTCAGCTTCTTCTTCGAATTTATGGCGATTTGCTATCCATGGTTTTATATATCTGAAATGCAACCCCAATATAACTTATGTTGCTGTTCTTTGAGTTTGAATGGGGATCTGAGCCTGCTACTCCTAGGCTATTCTAACACTTTAATTAATATGCTAAGGGCATAATTGGAAAGTCAACTTAATTACTTTTTCTGCCTAAAACCTGTGAAGTCAAACTGGGAACTTGATTTCGGGATGAGGAGACTAGAGAGTATTAAATAATGTGAAGCTTTACAAATTAAGCAAAATAAACACTAAAAATTGTATTTGATTAAATACAAAAACACAAAAAAATGAGCATTTAAACCAGCTTAACAAGTAAAAACAATACAACAACAACAACATCCAAGCCTTAATCCCAAAAGAATTTGGGGTCGGCTAACAAGTAAAAACAATAAGAGGGAAAAAACATAGCACAAATAGCCTAAAACGATAAAACTATATAAAAACTGAAGAAGACAGAAATTAAACAAATGATGAATAATAAGAATTCCACGTAAACGACAACAGTGAAAATGAGAAAAAAAACACCAAGTAATCATCACATACAATTGTTCCTGTTTCCATAAAAATGACCGATGAGCTAAATTGGTAGTAATCAAGTCAAACACGAAAGATGCGAATCGGAGGGGCATGCCTCACGAAACATAGGTGCATTTTTCCTATGGAGATTTCATACTATTTGAGCATGCCATATTTTCTTAGATATTTTGCTTGTAGCACAAGCCTGGCGTGCTGCTGACATCATCATCAGTTTCCTTAAGACATCCAACGCACACATGTCACTTATTCATTGCCTTAAATATTTTGCTTGTAGCCCAGGCCTTATATTTTGCTTATAATACCACCTTCCCATACGAGGAAAGCAGGTCCCCAATCATTGCGTGTAATGTTATTCTGCAGAAACTAATACACATCTTTCTCACTCTAGCATCTCTCTAATTTCTCCCTACCTTCTCCCATATAGGTTACTTAGCCCATCATATACTATCACCGAACAGATAAACCCATAATACAAATACCATAAGTAGCCAACTTAAATATCAAAATCTCTTGATGAAATAGTCAAACAATCACAATAGAAACAAAACAATCATCATATTCAAAAGTTCACAACTAACTAAACAATGAAAGCACATAAACAATAAGAAGGCCCAAACTAGTATTCTACTGTGTTTCCCATAGGTGAACAGAAGTCAGAACACACTTAGGAGAAAGGCATTGAAAGTTCCCAATAGCATGTAAAACAAAGACAATTGGCACAGCCCCATGGGATAATAGAAAAGAAGAAGAAAAATAGTAGAATAATCAAATTGCCGATAAAGAAGATGGGAGGGTCGTTTCTGGTTTAAGGGAAGTGCACGCTCAGTGAATAGATAAATAGATTTACACCCACTACTTTGAAGAGGAAAGTTTAAACTAATAAAAACCCCAAGGCCATAAAGTTTAAACTTTAAACTAGAAAATATCACTCTATAAACAAAAGTATACGGAGTAAGTACTGACCCAAGATAAGACCAGAAAAGCTGAGAATTTTAGGAATAAGAAGAGTGTCTTAGGGTGTTAAAATAATGAAGGGTTGATAACTTGATATGCTGGTAGGATGGACACCATTACACTCTTCAACCTTTACTTAATCTTCAAATATTTCTTCCTTTTTTTCCAAAACAATTTTTTGTTTTATGTGCAAAAATGTCTGAAGAGAAAGCATGTTCTTATAATCTTATTGAAACGCATAGTGGCAGAGTGGAGGGGAGAGTGGTGAGGGTTTACCGAACCTCCCTTACAATAAAAATAAAAATAAAAAAGAAATTAAAAAAGCACTCACAACCTACCTTATTGTTAACAATCTGAGCCGACTGAGCGTCGGAGCCTCTAGCGTGGGCGACGGTCAAAGTGGCAGATGGGCCAATGGCGGTGCGGCGGTGCGGTGGTGCGCGGCGTGTGCGACGGTCTGAGCGTCTCCACTCTCTAGCTCTCGGCCATGATTTTTTCTCCCTTTGATTTTGGTCTGATGGTCAGGATTAAGTTTTAGGGATTCTGGATAGTTGCGCCAGACTGTTTTTCACGAGTTTTGGCAGCTCGGCCAGACTGTTTTACATTTTGGTATCCTCTTTCAAAATTTGCTTCAACTTTTTAAAGAGTAACACTCTTTGTCATTAACTATTGCAATAGAAACATTTTTAGTGCTCCATTTATTGTGTCAATTTGATAATACTCAAAGGACTCAATGTGGGAAACTTGAAAATAGAGGACTAATAGTGTCTCTCTCACAATAGTTGAGGACTAAAAATGGATAAATTAAAAGTCGTTTATCAAAAGTGTAAACAAAATACTCGGGGACCAAAAGTGGCAAAAACTCTATTTTTCACTGAGCCAATTAACACGTAGTACTCCGTATAATCTTTTATTGACTGGCACTTCCGCACTTCCATAAAATCATAAATTTAAAGTATTTATGGGTGGAGTTTTTTGTGTGGAAATTTGTGGAGAGAATTCCCCAAATAGGAGCAAAACATAGACAAAATGCAAAAACAAGAGTACCATGTTTTGAATAGTAGTAACTTTAGTGTTTGAACAAGTATACCCCTACCCAAGCCCCAATAACTATTAATTAAATTTTTAATTCATAATAAATTCGAAAAAAACTCAAAAAATTGTAGAAAAAAATTAAAAAATTTATAAAAATATTAATAAAATAAAAAATTAAAAAAAAATTAAAATTTTTATTTTTTTAAAAAAATAATAAAAAATAGTAAAACTCCATAAAAAAATTAAAAAATATGGATGCATTTCCCACCGCTTGTACTACCTCCCTGCACCACCACCTCCGGGCGGTGAAAAAAAAATCCAATTTTCCTAAAAACTGTCTTTTTCTGAAAATGCCAAAAACATGACATATTTCTCTTTGCGAATGCCACTATTTTCATCGTTTTCTGCCATAAATATGGCATTCGTAATGAACTTGTCATTTTTTTCCCTAATGACTGGAGGTGGTGGTGCTGAGGCGACAGAGGCGGCGGTGAATTTTATTTTATTTTTTTAAGTTTTTTATATTAAAAAAAATATATTTTTTTTTTGAAAAATAAATAAATAAATAAATAATTATTATCGAATATGTCATAAATTAACTAGGTTAGGATTAAATAAGTCATATTTTAGAATTAACTAGGTTAGGGATATTAAGGATACAAAATTAATGTTTACTCCCATTGAAGGAAGTTTTAAGTTTTACTCCTATTTGTGCAATTATGTTTATATTTACTCCTGTATTAGGCAATTTCTAAAATTTGTGATCATCTTGTCATGAAGGGTAGATATTCGTTATCAAATTTTATCTTAAAATTCAATCCAGAAATAAGTTAAATTGTATATATAATTTCTGATGCACTTGAAAGTGATGCACTTAAAAAAACAAATTAAATTGTATATATAATTAACAAAAAAAGAAATTTGCCCTGGGCCATGGCCCAGCCACGCTCCCTCCCTCCGCCCCTGCTTGGCCAACTTTCTTTCTTGGTCGTCCCAAAAAAACTTTGTCATTTCTATTTAAAGCAATTAATATGTGTTCAAAGTTATTTCTCTCTGTTTTACACAAATTTCAATCACAAGATTTTTACTTTATTATCTTACGTGCTAGTCAAGTTTGATCAAGATTTATTGTCGGAGAGTATTATTTATAACTCCTATTGTATGCTGATTAAAGAAAGTAACAAAACATCGACATATAATCCAATGATGTTTGAAGACCGTTGTTTCAAGACATGGGAAGAAAAATTGAACATCGATCTATAAGAGGAGAGAAGCTCCCTTTCTCCTTCCAACAAATCGAAAGCAAATTGACATCAAAATTAATTATGTGTACTTCATATTGTATAAGATAATATATGTCTATGGACATGCGCATACATATGTGTGTCTAAATGTATGTGCAAATACCAATTTTAACTCGTTTATTGTGTGTGTTATTTATGTTTGAGAGTAAGGGTATGCTTGCGAGTTTGAAAGAGAGTGGGGGGTTTTGAAGGTTAGTCATATGAGAGAAAGGGGAGGGAAAGGAGAGAAAAACTTTCTTGTTTGCGAGTAACAAATTTGGAAAGATGAAAATTATGAAGAAATTAAAATTAAAATCACTTACATTGTGGACAATAACCCAAGGACGCCATAGTCTAGGAGCCCAAACTATGTGACTGGATAAATCCTCCTCTTCGTAGTTCAACTTATATTCTTTTTAACTTGAGCTAAAACTATCATCATTTCAATATATATCATCAAATTCCCTCAATTTCAGGGAACTTAAAAAATCCAAATTTGAAGGATATTGTTTGGTCGAAAGAATTGTCCATAATCATTCCTTATAAATGTTTTAAACTCTCAAACAAGAAAGGAGGGGTCACACACCCTCCTAATTCTTCTCTTCTCCTCTCCTCCAAAACACAAATCTCAAATATACCCTAAGGGTGTGTTTGGGAGTTGAGTTTTGGAGGGGATGGGAAGGTTAATGGGTGTTTATAACCCTCCTTTTATGTTTGAGAGTTTAAAAAATTAGAGGGGATGATTTTGGAGGGCTTTTGTAACCCTTCAAAACCCTCCAAATGCTTAATTTTTAAGTTCCTCCAATTTGGAAGGTTTTGGAAGATACTCAACAACAACAACAACAACAACAAGCTTTAGTCCCAAAAGATATTGGGGTCGGCTAACATGAATCGATACATGATATCACCACCAAAAGGAAAAGAAAGAAAATAAAGATTAAAAAAGATAAGTTATTATAAAAAGATAAAATAAAAAGAGATGAATATACATAAAAAAGATAAAATAAAAAGGATACAAATAATGCTTATATATAAGGATAAAAAACAAGGAAAAAAAGATGAGGGGAAAAGATGATACGAGATCACTCCTCCACACGAATATCCGCCCTCCACTTAGCTCTCTCCAAAGTCATGCTCTCATCCAACCCCAGAAGAAGCATATCACTTCGAACTCCCCTAACCCACGTCTGTTTGGGTCTTCATCTCCCTCTCTTCCCTGCCTCTTCTCCACACATCTCAACTCGTCTGACGGGTGCATCACTCGGCCTTCTACGCACATGACCAAGGCACCGTAGGCGCGACTCCCGCATCTTGTCTTCAATAGGTGCTACTCCCACCCTTTGTTTGATTGTCTCATTCCTCACACGGTCCTTCCTAGTATGCACACACATCCAACGCAACATGCACATCTCTGCCACACTCATCTTTTGAATGTGACATTGTTTCACCGCCCAACACTCTACGCCATACAGTAATGCAGGCCTAATTGTTATCCTATAAAATTTACCCTTCAGTCTAGTCGGCATACCTCGATCGCATAGAAATCCTGACACACTCTTCCACTTTATCCACCCTGTTCTGATTCTATGGGATACATTTCCATCTAACTCACCGTCCTTCTGAATTATGGAGCCCAAGTAATGGAACATAGCGCTGACTGGTATCTCCTTACCATCCAGAGTAATTCCGCTATTACCACCGCTTCTACCTCCACCAAACTTGCACTCCATGTACTCTGTCTTGCTCCGACTTAGTTTGAAACCCTTATTCTCCAATGTTTGTCGCCATACTTCCAACTTTGCTTTAAGACCTCATTGCGTCTCATCAATGAATACAATATCGTCGGCAAACATCATGCACCATGGTATATCATCTTCAATTGACTTTGTAAGTTCATCCATGACTATGGCAAATAAGAAAGGGCTCAGAGCCGATCCTTGGTGCACTCCGATAGTAATAGGGAACTCTTCAGTCTTCCCAACACTAGTACGGACACTTGTAGTACAATACTCATACATATCCATGATGATGCTGACATACTTGCGTGATGTGCCTTTTCTAGTTAAGACCCACCAAAGAACTTCTCGAGGTACCCTATCATATGTCTTTTCTAAGTCAATGAACACCAAATGCAGATCCTTATGAGTGTCTCTATACTTCTCCATAAGTTGCCGAAGAAGGTGAATGGCCTCAGTGGTTGAGCGACCAGGCATAAAACCGAATTGATTCTCTGAAATCTTCACAGTTGTTCGAAGTCTTTGCTCAATCACTCGCTCCCAAAATTTCATGGTGTGACTCATAAGCTTAATCCCTCGATAGTTGGCACATTCTTGTACATCACCTTTATTCTTAAATAAGGGGATAAGAGTACTCTTCCTCCAACTCATTGGCATCTTGTTGTTTCTCCGAATCATGTTGAAGAAACTTGTTAACCACTCGACGCCTCTCTCTCCCAAACTTTTCCAAGCCTCGGTCGGTATGCTATCTGGACCAACTGCTTTCTTCTGTCCCATCTTCCTCAGAGCTTCTTTAACTTCCTTCGTCTGGATCCTTTTTACAAAATCACGATTTACCATACAATCTGGCATAGACAAATCACCGATATCTTGCGTTTTCTTCCCGTTGAATAGTGTATCAAAGTATGACCTTCACCTCTCTTTTATCTCTCCGTCATTCATTAATATCCTCTGATCGACATCCTTCACACACTTAGGGCTTCTTTACCAACAGAGATATTTTCCTATTTTCCAGAAAAATGGCAAACTAGAAAACAGAAAACAGGAAACGCGTTTACCAAAAAAAATTGCTCGAAAACTGGAGAAAGGAAAACAGAAAAACGCGTTTACCAAACCGTTTTCCAAAACAAAAAATTGATACATGTCTCTCTTTTCCTTTATGATTTGGAGAAGTGACTTTTACTAGTTTTCCAAATTTGGAAAACGCAGATGCTACAGGCCGCTGCAATGAATTTGCATACTAACACTTAGTGGCGGGTCCGCTCCCGCTCCGATGTCGATTCCATTCTAGTACCTCCATCCTCATACCTTACCCCTTACCCCTACCCTACCCTACCCACCCAACCCCCAACCCGCATACCCCTTTTCCTTACAATGACCCTACCCCCACCCTCTACCACATGCCCCTACATTGGTCCCACCTCAATCTACCCTGCCCTACCACCACCCCCTACCACCTCAACCCCACCCCCACCCACCCTACCCTACCCCCACCTCGTATATTACCCCTTACCCCTACCTTACCCCTTCCCACATGCCCCTTACCTCAGCCCT